GTGGTTGCAGTCGTACGCGAAGAAATCTCAACTTTGGTGTATGCTTGTCCGGGATGAGCAGATCTGAACAATCAAGAGGGGATGTGAAGGATTGGTGATTGCGTAGCGGAGCAGTGCTGCTCGATGAAGCACAATGGATGTGAGATGATGGATGCACTACTGGATGATTGCCAGTGGACGTTGACAAGGCGAGCGGTAGACTTTGGCTTCCCGATCAGCCCACGAGACAAGAGCTGATTGGAGTCGAGGTTCGATGCAAAAGTGGAGTTGGTTGATTCAGCTCGCAACCTTGACTCTGACGACGCGTGACGAGAGGGCGGTGTTTAGGAGTTCACTACGCGTCGAGCGAAGACAGTGCTCAGTTTCGACAGCGCGTGCTCGGTTGAACTTCGCCCTACAAAAGCAGAGAGAGATGGGTGTGAGAGGGTCGTCAAGAATGATTGGATGGGTCGAGGTTTCCTTTCAACACTTTTGCGCCTTTCTGCTCACGACGACCCAAAGCCATGTTTGCGCTTCTGACCGTGCATGACTGCAACGGTCCGTGAGCCTCGGAGGATCGATAGATGCGCAACTCACATTTAAAACATGTGTCGATGCCTTGTGTACACCACTCAGCTGATCAGGGCTTTGCTATACAAGCCCATGTATGCGCGCCTGTTAATGGTGATGAGCACGGGCAGGAACGAGTTCACGACCGACGCCTCTCACCGTCGAGTGGGCGCTTGCGTGATCTGCGCTCATGAGCAGTCGCAAATTGACCTCGGTCACGCATTGCCTGCTCTGAGACTACGGACCCCGCACAATGGAAGGCGCGCGAGTAGTCGTGCGTGTAGTCACAACAGTCACAACAGTGTGAGCCATCGCGATGGACATGGAAGCAAGCAAGAGAAACAGATGAAAGCAAGTCAGATCATGCGCCACCCACTTCGAAGCGTGGCTTGTCAGACTTGCGCGCGGGGTTGAGATCAATTAAGCTAGCTCAGACCTGTGCGCTCACACAGCTGATCATCGATCCCTGCATAGGCTTAGCATCACGAGAATCACATACGCGATGTGGTCAATACCAGACATTCACCGAGGGGCAAATTTTGCCGCCCTAGAATGCTGTGCCGTACGTGACGCAGATAGCATCGAACTCGATCTACAGGAGTCAGTCAAGGGTGCGCGAGTGGGCCAAGCGACACTGACTCGTTGCAAAGGCCAAGATCTGCTGCAAGCCATGCGCATGCACTGTTCGTGTCAGCACCCACGTGAGAAGAGGTCGAGCGTCTGCTTTGTTTCAGCTGCGAAGGCGTCAAAGGCCAGACGTTGTAGTCACAAGTCCAAGCAGCCTCGATGAGGGATGCAACCACCCAGCGAGCGAACGCGACGCAGGTGATGAGAAGTGCAAATCTCGATTTGTTTTGGGTTAGGCGGTTGCATAACGGTACAGGAGTACAGGCCGAAGATTGCGAAATTCGGATGGATTGGTGCGTGGCGGCTAGGCTCGAATCGAGATTTGATGATGCGTGTGGCTGCTTGGAAATGGGAGCAGGTCGTGAAATCACGAGTGGAGCGCAAGAAGGTAAGAGGGCCGCTTACGACAGCCAAGAGAGCGTCCTGGAGCTTGCCAAGCATCCAGCGACCACTCGAGCTCTGTAGATGAGCAAGTCCTTGCCCTCACCGTCTCTCCAGACCTTCGGCTTAGTCTCGTCTGACTCGCAACGCTCTCCCGCTCCATGCGCGAAGCGCACTTAATCCAGCTTTTCCACCTCAGGCTCCTCCTTGGCATCACCCTTCTCAGCCTCATCGAAGTTCTCCACCTGCGAAGTCGTAGAGTGCGCGGGGATGAGAAGGGCTTGATGCATTGTGACTGCAAATGCTCGAACTCACGACATCGGGCACCTCATCGTCGTCCTTGCCTCCCGCGGCAAAGTTCTGTTGCTGCGCTGCATTCATGGCTTGGTAGCTCTCCGCGAGCTTTCGCAAGCTGTTCAGACTGTCGGGTCCAAGCTGGTTCAGAATTCCTGGCACGAGGTCTGTGAGCTCCTTGTCGGCACCTTCGCCGTACACGCAGTAGGTGTTTGAGGCGCCAACACCGTGGACTGCAAGTGCAAAAAGGGAACCGAAGTCAGACGTGTTTCGGGTGTGCTCGAACGCAGAATACGTTTGATGTAGGCCAAATCATGAAGCTGCCCAAACGTCTCGTAGCCTCCAATATCCACACAAAGACATAACGCTCTTCTCCTGGCTGCACAAGAGCTGATAAGCTTCCACGCATCGCGCGCACTAAGCAGAGACGCTTAGAGCCGTCTAGTGCGAGCCCGTATCGCACTTGCCCATCCGCTTGCGGTGAACTCGCAAAAGGATTGCGCGGGCGACGAGGCACGTCCTGACCGTCTTTAGCTTTCAGCCCAGCCTCAGCGTCCTCTCGCGTCCAAGTGTGGACTACTCCCTGCACAGCTCCCCCTTCATGATCCGTATTTGCTCCGACGCCGAGATCCGCTCCTTTAAATCCTCCCCTCGCCCGCTAACTTCGTGTCTAGACTCACCCTTGGGTGCTCGGAAGTGCAGCACGTTGCCATCCTCCTTGAACATGTTGACCTCCTCGATGCCACTCAGAGGCTGAACATTGAGCTTCTTCAGAGCTGCTGACAGCTTCTTGTCACCCTCGACGTTGCCAGGTCCC